CAGCCAATAGCAAATCAGCCGCTGTGCCCACAACATCCATGCGATCGAGTTGAGGATTCTGGATGTAGCTGGTAATCAGCGAGGATCGGCTAGTGCCTGCCTGCACATTCTGTTCCAGCAGCTGCAGGGCGACACTTTCCATATAGGATTGAGCGTGACGCAGCTTACGATAGCTGGGAGTCTCTATAAAGCGCCACAGCTGTAGACCCTGATCTGTGGGCAAGATGCAGCTGTTTGTGGTTTCGGCGGCATGCATCAGTCGTGTGGAACGCGAGTGTGAGTGCTGCTCCTCCGGCGAAAAGGATTGAATGCGTGCTCCAAAGGTCAACAGGCAGGTCACTAACGAATCGAGATTTGTTTAATAATGGAATAATCATAGGGTTAACTTCTCTCACGTTCCAAATTGAGTCTGGTTAGCTTGGGCAACATATCGATGACAGTTCCAACTCCGGCTGACTGTTCCAGAAATGTTAGGAACTCTTGTGTCACCGCATCCACCTCGCCTACGAAGCTGCGTACACTTTTCGGCGCGCTCAGCTCCTTTTGCAGCTGCGATCGCAGGCGCCACCAGTCTGGTCCATTTGTGGGTAGCAGTCCCGTTGTCTTGTAAAGATGCGGTCGCTGCTTGCGATACTGGGCCAAAGCCAGGTGACTGCGTCGCTGCGGACAGTCACGTTCGTTGAGCAGTGTCGCTATGTCCTTGGGATCGTACAGCCAGACAATATCCTGTCCCGGCACCATAGTCTCTCTCACAATCGAGCCGTACTTTTCGTACTTGTCCTGCCCGGCCTTGTGCAGCTGCAGCCAGGAGTAGGCACCTATGCCAGGCATATAGTTATACAGATTGCCCAATCCAAACGGACCTCGTGGCCCTGGCATTGCCTCGAATGGCTTGGCAAATGTGCATTGCCTCGAGTTGCAGCAGATTTTCAATAGCTTCGACAACATTCTGGGCCGTTCCGTTCCGTTGCGTTCGGTGCCAATTCTCGAAAGATACTGAGAGGCGAATTTTTATTATGGCCAGGCATTTGGGTTTTCTTTTTATTGCGCCTTCTTTTGTTTCACTTGTCGCCAGAAAGGTAACTAAATTCAACAATCTGCTCGTGTGCGAGTCGTGTTTACCTGAGCTGCCGACTTCAAACCATTCGTCTACCTGATGAGAGCCTCAAGCGTGCTCTTAAATTTATATCAGAGAGTTTCCAAGACATCTAAAATAACTGCTGCGTACTTTTAGGAGCCGAACAAAAGTATTTTGTATTTTTGATAGCATTTTTCACGCCCATTTCTGCCTTTATATACGGACGTTCGATTTAAAAGATAAAATTCCCTATTATGTGAAGAAACAAAGTTTTTCAAGGGTTTCTCATCGAAATAAGGGTTCTGTTTCGTACACCGTTTTATACATTGCCAAGGTTGATTTATTGTTAGCACTTTGTTTTTAAAATTTCTTGCTTTTTTACTTTACTTATTTTATCGTTATATCACCCATACTCTTAATCTTAAAAGAGAAGTTAATCTTCTTTCTGTTCTTTGTCGGGACTCAGCTCTTTCCCTATTCCATTTAACTTTTTGACTTGCTTTGCCTTTTTCTTTTCATTGTCAGATACGATGCTTTGCAAAATCGCGAGTACAACATTGGCAAAAAAGAACAGGAAAAAGAAAAAAGGTAGAGACAATACATCCAAGGATTTTCTGACAAAATAGGAACGTTGAGAAGATTCCGGCACCCATAACTGTTTGAAGATATACGGCTGGCTAACCAATTGCTCGGCATACCAAATGGCCAAGTCCACGGGCTTCGCTTGGCGTGTGCGGAAAACGAGCTGTGCCTGCTGTAGTTCATCCACATAGATTTCCTCACGAATTATTTTCTTGAGAGCTGCCGAGAAACTGTCCACGCTGAAGTTCTTAGCTGAAATGCGAACTCCCAAATAACGTTCCTGCACACGTTCGCCGTTCTATGATGGAATAAGGAATTTTTAAATACGCTAATCTCATTTAGATTAGCCCTCACATACATTCATTTGATCCATAAGCAAGGGCAGCACAATGATCGGTACTGCATTGTAGATAGCTTCCTGTATACCAAAGCTGTCGCCATGGGTCAGAAATGCCTTTACATTAGATTGAGCTGTAAGCGAATACGGAAATTGAGACGCGATCCGAGCTGAATTGGGTTTGGTACTAACCCAGTATGTTCTGCTGCATATTGTCAACAACACTGATGGTTCTTAAATTGTACAAACTCTCCGAAAGCTGGAGGTCTTTAAGATTGTTCACATTCCAGAGAAAACCAAGCTGACTGAACTCCTTAATCATGGATTCAATGGCCTTTAGGCCCAATCCGTACATCAGCTCAATATGCGGCAGATTTATGTAGACAATCCCCTCGGAGAAGCGCTCAATAAATTCCTGCAAGCTGAAGGGCAATGGTTCCGACTCGGCTCGAATATGCAGTCCACCCACCTCTATAACGTTCGGTGGCATATTTTGCACATAATCCAGAACGGGATGAGTATTAAGTAACACCACATGAGCTTTGGTTGAGGAAAAACCGCTTTCCAACATACCATTCAGAACGGGCTGAACCACGGCCCAATGAATGCTGCAACCAGTAAAAAGGGTTGCAATGATGAAACGTCTGCAGCTGTAGCATTTAAATAATCCACTTACAATGATTCGGCCAGGTACATTACATGATTCTGTATGCGTTGCCAGTAGCTTATTGTTATAGGCAGCCGGCTGATGAAATGGGGTATGGTTGCAGCACTGATCGTATCCTCGCCCTGAACTAGATCAATAAGATCCGTTGTTAGTTTACCTCCACTCAGGCCCAGCACGGGCACCGATCGATACCGCGGCAGCGTGGTGAGCAGACAGTCCATCGAAAATGTGGCATCATAGATAATCAAATCATATTTCAACGCCTCCGTGTCAAATGTTTTGAAAAAATTTGTCTCAATTATGGAGCGGCAGCCGCCCAGCAGCGCCTCATACCAAATCAACAGCTGCTTAATGTCCCAGTGCTGTTGATAGTGACCCATATCGTTTGTATAATGCTTCTTTACCACATCGTGTTCGTTCGGCAAGAAAATTTGCCGGATGTGCGGAAGCCCTAGATCGCCTTGTGTTCCTATAACTGTCAGTGAATGGCCACGGCCAGCGAGAGCCTCAAAGAATGGCTTCGTCCAGCCAGGATTATTATGCTGCGCTGTGCCAACAAGGCACAAAATGCTGGCAGCATTCAACTGCTGCCACTTGTGGCAAAACAGAAGCAGCAGCAACGCCGCAAGAGTCTTCATATTACCAAACCGTTGCACTTCAAACAAGCCACTGAATCACCGATGGTTCGTTCCACCGGCCGTGATAAGATTGCGTTAATCGACGCTACGTAAACCAACCGATAAAGTCTTTTCTATACACTTATATTTTTGTTTAAGAGCTGTGTGCCGAAGAGAATTGTGTGCTCTCAAAATAAATAACAAAAACTAATGTAATGCAATGTATTCAAATAGAGAATGATGGGCTTGGCAACGCCACCTACGAGAAGCAGCAAGCCCCAAAGCTGATAACAGCTATCAAACCGAATGTGATTATGAGGTTAAGTTACGATAGCCAATATAAACAACAATAAAAACAGAAGCGCTCCAGTTGAGAGTGCCCGACTAGGACATACCCTGAATCCAACGCCCTTAAAACATTCTAGCTACCAAAACACACACACTCACAGACACAAACACAAACGTTCTGAAGACCGAACTTTCTAAAATATTCAGGGCATAATTATATCATCATGCATATACCAAAGCTTAAGGCTACACAATTTTGGGGAGTTATGTATTTTGACTCTCTATATACTATACGAGAACCTTCATTTGGTGTCTCCAACTCTAATAAGTAACAAAAAGCAGGGCGTTGAAATCGATTTCATAGCAATGGTTGGACAAGTTTTCAGTGTTTTGAAAAAAGGTACTCGACCTCTTTTAGTAAATAAAATAAAATAATAATCAATAAGTTCCCGATTTGAACTGATTTAATTCTTAAATTTAAATTCTTTTATAGAAAGACTAGCGGGTATAACCCGGCCTTGCCCGTGGCACGTATGTTATAAAATGATTTTGAAACTGATCGGACGGTAAACAAATAACTTTCATACAAACGTTTTCCGCCAATATACCACTGTTGCGAGTGGAATTTCCCAAATCGCTGAAAGACGTATTCATTACATTCTTATGTAGAGCTTTGAAAATAGGTTTGAAGCAAATCGGACACAATTTAAAACTTCGCCCAAAAAATCTTTAAATCGCATTCCCCCCGAAGAAGTTTGAATTCAGCGAAAAGTGTGAAACACGTATCAAATGATTTTTCTTATAGATCTCTGGAAATGAATTTGAGCGCGAAACGTCACCCACCAAATCTTTGACCTCCATTTCCACCAAGGAGGAACGTATTTTTCGAAAAGTGTGAAACACCCCTCAAATGAATTTGAACAAAGATCTTTGAAAATAAGTTTCAGGCCGATCGGATGGTAAACAAAAAAGTTACATACAAACGTTTTTCGCGATTATGCCACACTTGTGGGTGGAATTTCCCGAAACCCCGTCTTAACGTGCACCTACATCACATAAGGTAGCTACAGTGAAAATTTCAGCTTCCTATCTCTTACGGTTTGGGCTGTGCGTTGATCGCCAATCAGTCAGTCAGTCAGTCAGTCAGTCAGTCAGTCAGTCAGTCAGTCAGTCAGTCAGTCAGTCAGGACAAACAGTTTTATATATAGAGATAGATAGGTAGATGCCAGGCCCGGCCATTGTCAAGCCATACTATTTGTGTTTTAATTAATATTTATCTTTGGGTATTTTTGTTATAGTAAGAGAGTTTTAGAGTGTGTTTATTTGAAAGTATGATTATTGTTGAGTATGGATGTTGACGGCACAATGGGCCCGGGGTATCTACTCGTCGGGCAGTCAAATAAAAGTGCTATAAAAACATTTCAACGTACCTGGCAACCAGTCAGTCGTCGACGAGATGTGCAACGTACAGTATCTTGGCATTAGTATTTTAATTGCGACGCAGCTGCTCGGCTGGGCAATGGGTGCGAATATATTAGCTTTGATGGGCATGACCTCCCACAGTCATCATATCTGGTGAGAACATGAAATTGGCATATAATCCTTATTGCAGAAAGCTAACGAAAGGAATCGCCCTCGTCTGATTATAGGAATAGTGTGCTGCTGTATGAGCTGGCAGAACGGGGTCATAATATGACCATACTGTCCGTGAATTTGCCACGGCCCGAGGATAAGGTGCCAGCCAATGTTAGCTATATCTATCTCGAACGCGCCTACGATGTCTATAAAGAGAGTGGCGATAAAGTTGATATAAACTCCTTTATTGGTATTGGCAACTATGAGACTATAACGAAAACTTACGATTTTGGCTTGAAAACGGCGAAATATATAGCCGCCTCTCAGGGGCTACTGCAGCTGCTGGACTATCCGGATGAATTTAAGTTTGATCTGATAATCAATGACTACACCCTGGGTCCATATTTGCTTGGGTTTGCGCACAAGTTTCGCTACCCTCCCATAATTGGCGTTACGGCCTTTCACAATGCGCCCATAACACTCGATTTTATGTCCAATCACTATTTCCCCGCGCTGACACCCTATTACTCGACTCTGTATAATCACAAAATGAGCTTTTTAGAGCGTTTTGATAACACGCTCGTATTTGCCGCCGATACAATGTGAGTATTCATTCATAATATAAATGATTTATTTAATTTAGCTTTCATGATTAGCTATCGCCGATTGTATTACTATCCCCAGCTGGATGAGATAATGCGACCATTTTTTGGGCCCGAAATGCCGCCTCTGTCAAAGCTGGCGAAGCTGACGAAGATTTCACTGGTCAACTCACATCCAGCCACGGATTATGTGGAGGCCTTGCCGCCGAATGTTGTAGAGGTAGGCGGTCTGCAAGGCAGACAGGGCAAGCCCTTGCCCGCCGACTTGGATCAATTTATGAGACGTGGAAAACGTGGGGCCATATTCTTTTCGCTGGGCACCAATATGCATCCAGAAAATGTGGACAGTATGCTCAAACTGCAAATAGTGGAGGCTTTTAGGCAGCTGCCTGACTATAACTTCATTTGGAAGTTTGACGAGCAGTACTTGAAGGATGTTCAAATGCCGGCCAACGTTTTGGTTAAGGAATTTCTGCCACAACGGGATATTTTGTGTAAGTCGTAATTATGATGAGATGTGATTAATGTGATATGTGATTCTTAATGTTCCCTTTCCTTTCCCAGCTCATAAGTCTATGACTTTGTTTATCTCACACTGCGGTGGATTGAGCACACAAGAGGCTACATGGCATGGTGTACCCATCGTCGGAATTCCCTTATTCCTGGATCAATATCGCGTAAGCGAATTGCCCAAATTGTTTTCATTTTCAGTTGTTTAATCAATGATCTTCCTTTGTAGAATCTCATTCAAACCATTAATGCTGGTGCTGCTGTTCAGGTTAACTATTTGAATCTGACTACGGAACAGCTGGTCTCCGCCGTACGAGAAGTCGCCGAGAACAAGCGTTACTCGCAGGCTATGAAAATGCGATCCCAGCGCCTACGAGATAATCCAGTTCCCCCCTTGGAGCTGGCCGTGTGGTGGGTGGAGTATTTACTACGCCAACCCGATCCCGTTCACTTGGAATCGGCAGCCAGGGAATTGAATTATTTCCAAGCGCATTCCCTGGATGTGCTCGCAGTTCTAGTTATGATTCCTTTGCTGCTCCTGTATGTCCTGCAGCGCCTGTGCACTGGCAAGCGACGATCGATGCGAAAAAGACATCCAAAACGCGACTGAACGAATATGCTTAAATTACCATAATACAATATTTTATTTACTTTTGTAAAGCTAAATATTATACAATAGATTGTTATTGCTATAACTTCTTGGCAACGGGTGCTCATTTTTTATAAGAAATCGAATCGCAACACGAAAAAAATATCTTTTGTATACTTTGCTTTTGTGATTTGCATAATGAATAACTATTGGCAAAGAAATTACTCACTGATTTTAATTCTAGGTGTGCTTATTTCTGTGTGTGTGTGTGTGTGAGTGTGTGTATGTGAATGTGTGGGTGTTTTTTAGTATGTGTTTGTTAAGTGTTTATTTACGTGTTGTTAATATGGCAAGATTAATAAATGAAACTATTTTCACTTAACAACAGTTGCAGGCACTGCACAACCGTGAAAGTCCCTAATGAAACTTTAGTCTAACTAAATCTAGGCGCAAATTGCACAATGGATTATTCATAAATTAAGTTAAATATATATATAAGTATTAAATTAATTAACACAGATATTCGTTTTGTTTGCTTGTGTGTTTGTGAAAATGTTTAAAGCGTGGTTATGTACAGATTAATAAGTGATGCCTTTCCGTTAAGGGTATTCACTGCTTAACGTTGCTGAAAATTTCCCATATGTAAAAATGCTATCAATGAGTGAACACCCCTCACATGGGGCTAGTCACTTCTTTCTAAATTTGAGGCTGTTCGGTTAGTTTTGGTGCTTTGTGAGGGATGTGGGGCAGTTTGTGTATTGGTATGGATTAATTGTAGCTTCGCTAGCGCTACGACAAGGACACTGCAATCGTTTAATCGTTCCTATCACATTCACTCGTTCACCAACTGCGCTGGACCGGGATCATCGTAGGGCGCTCCATTCGCACCCACATACTGATTGTTATTGCGATGCACAAAGCCACGTCCTGGCGATGCATTGTAGTAGACGACGCGGCGTATGCCGAAGGGATCCACGTAGCCAAAGCTGCCCGCTCGCTTGTCATCCACTTGGGCCTCCTCATGATACTGCTTGGGCAGCACATAGCGGAAACCATTGCGCGTCACGCTAACACCATCATAGTCGTTGGCATCCAGATTGTTGCTGTGCAGCGGACGCAGACGGCGACGGTACGCACGATTTGGCAATGGTGGCAGCAAAGCCGCGTCCAAAGCATTCACATCAAGCGGTAAGTTGGGAGCATAGTAACCATATCCATTGCTGGCGGGCGTGGCGGTGGGCGCATAGTGATAGCTGGCATCGGAAACGGAGGGCGGCGCAGCGAACGGCGCGGGCGTGGAGTAACCAAAGTTATCCTGAGCCGCAATGGGCGCAGGTGTTGTGGGCACAATGCCGATGGCCGTTGGGCGTGGTCGGAGGCGTCTGCGCTGCGTGCTCAAGGGCGGCAGCATGGATAACGCAGGCGCAGACAGCAGCACGGGCGGACGAGGCGTCGTTGAGCCAATCACAGAGGCGAAACGACCCGGCGCAAAGGCATGATCTGCCTCCTCATCGTATACATTAATTGCATTGATGTCATCAATGGCCTCCGCATTCGGCTGAATATGCACCTTGCCGCTAAGCAGCTGATCACGTGCTCGCGGCAACTCGTCCGGATAGTGATCAAATCCCAGCTGCGTTTGTGGCTGTATCTTGGCTGCCTGTTCAGGTGGCAAATAATTGAGCTTACCTACGCCTGAACCCAGATTTGCATTGGCCAAATTTGGTGGTTCATACAGTGGCGGCGGGGGCGTGGTCGTTGAAGTAGTGCTGCTATAGCCATATCCATGTTTTCTATAGCCGCCGGCTACGCTATTGCCACCCACATTACCATCAACCAAAATCCCAGACTGAGCCGGCGCCGATTTCGTGGACTTGATGGCATCCTGTAAATGGACGGGGAGTTAGAGTTGCAGGGTTTTTGGGAATTTGAAGTCATTTTATAGTTACCTCAATGCCTCTGCCTTGGCCCACAAATATAGTCTTTGATTTAAGAATACGATATCCCTCCTTATCGGCTATGTAATCCTTCTGTCGCAAAAAGCCAGCAGCATCGATCCAGGCCTCTGTGCCTAATAAATAGAACAATATGGATAATTAATAAAACCAGGAGGACTCAAAGTAAATATAATTAATTAATGCGGAAGTTCAGACGAATGAGTTGGAGTTTCCCTTGCACTCTAAGCATGCATCAGTTGAAAAAATATTCATTTAACTAACCAACAACTAGTCTATAATATTTTTGTCTTATTATGGACTTACCAATGACTGTGCCGTCCTGCAGACGTTTCTCCTTGCGGAATTGTCCATTGTCGGTCTGAAAGCGGAAGTACCTCTCGGGTCCCTCATCCGTTTGAATGTGGTACTGACTTTGACTCGCATCACCCCACGATGCGGCTGCCAACGCTACCAATGCCAGCTGCAATGAAAATTGTCGACAAGAGGTCAGTAACTTGCCACTTGCTACTTGCTACTTGCTACTTGCCACTTGCCACTTGTATTTTGACTAATGGCATATGGCAATAGCCGCATATCCGCTGATAGCGGCAGCTAGAAATGCATCTGGATTTGGCCAAACGTGGCCATTTGGGGGCCGGCCACAACAACTATTAGACGAAATGCCAACAGGTAGCAATTTGGACAAAACGAGTAGTCATCGTTGCACTTCAGTTTCAGAGTCAAGGTGACACGAGGAGATGCAACCGCAACTGTTGCACAACGCACAACACGTTGGGAACGGAAATGTGGCATGTGAAAGTGTATTTGCAGTTGCAACAACCGCACCGCACCGCACCGCGCCGAGTCGAACCGGTTAGAGCGCACGTTGCGTATACGCTACGTAGCGCATAGGTGTTAATGCCAATTCAGGGACAAGGTTGTCATTGTCTTGCCATTTGGCTCGATTGCCGCATTGAGATTCTTTTGCCAATTATTCTAATGCCGCCACCCGCACGTAACCACATTAACGCTTCAATTATTTTAGCGTGCAGTCATAAACTACTCGCAACTGCCACTTGGTGAGGGGGCAGCGACCGGGCGCGTCGCCTCATCGGCTCTGTAGGCGTCGAGTACGGCGAATTGTGGTTTGTGCGCTTCAATTAAGCTAATGTTGATGTAGCTGACATTTTTATTATAATTTTGTGCTTGTTACCCGATTCGTATTCGCATTCGCCTGTCGTTTTATTTATTGTGCTTTAATTAATTATTGTTTGTATATTTTAAGGTGTCGCCTTATGACAGGCTTCGCTTTTCTGCTTGTGGGTTGTAAATATGAATAACAGGTCTTAAGAAAATTGAGTTCAATTTATTTGTGTCGTTCATTTTTGGATTTACTGAACTGAAACTGCGGCTCCTCACGAGCTTCAGCTCTTTTATTAAGCTTATTCTATAGCATTATTTACCTCTCCTTAACTTAGCATTTTGATAAATTAAATTTCTGACTGACTGCTAACAAAGTCATCTCATGCCTTAAAAATACAAATGCAGCTATCAATCATGCAAATCAGCCAGAAATGGATTACATCATGCATGTTCCGCTCATAAATGTATACAAATTAAATACACACATGCCCAAAATACTTTGTTACTTTCTAGAGACGATAAGTAAGTCCCCTTCCCATTCAATTACAATCAATTTAAATATTTGGGCATAAACGTCACAGTCAATCAACAGCGAATTGCACAGCCAGAAAATTTATAACATTTGCTAACGCAATGAAATAAATTGTGCAAAAATTATTATGGCCATTTCCGTTATGGGGCAAACGACTGCAGACGGACAGCAGTGGCAGTGGCAGCAACGAGAGTAAAAGTGCCAGCAAAAACAACAACAACACCAGCAACAACGACCACTTCAGCTTCGAGAGCAAAGATCTGGAAGAAATTTTAGTCCAAATTGGCGTCGCAGTTACTCAACCGGTTGGCGTTGGTGTTGGCTCCAGCCGCAGCCTGGCAGCATGTGTTTATGTTGCGGCCGTTGATGTGGATGCTGATGTTGCCGGCTGTTTGCCGCATGTTGCTGGCGTCGGTTACGTGAGAATCACAAGAGTCAAGCGACTCCTTTTGGGTGCGAGCGCGCCTTTAAAAACAAAACCGAAAAAAAAAATCAAAAGTGGAAAATCACGTTTTTCTTGGCGCGCAATTTAAGCGGCGCTTTATGTTTACGTTATTGTTATTGCTGCTGGTCGAAATGGTAACAAAGCCCGTCAACTGTTGCGCAACATTTTTGGCGTAATTTACGCAGCGCAAGCATCAACTTCAGCCAACAAAAGATATTCGCCCAATTGGCTGCCTGACCCCAAAAATTCTACAAATGATCAAGCTGCAGCTTGTGAGAGCCTAAGCAACCAAATACCTGAGCAACTATCTCTTTGTCTCTGGGTGCCCTCGAGCGCCCTGTCTTGCTCCAAGCTGACCTTCACTATTGGAGTTTTTAATTAAATATCACTTCAATTATATTTATTCGAGCGCTCTAAATTTATTAAATTAAAGCAAAAACAAAAAAAAAAAAAGAAAAAATAAATAAATACAGTAAAAACTATGATAAATGATCTGAGAATGTGTAGCGCAGCTTGCGATTTTGTGAATACAGACATTCTACCAGCAAACTTTTTCAAATTGATTAAAATAAGGCGCTAATGAAGCACACCCATAGCGCTGACGGCGAGCCTTTCACATTATGTTTGGCTGCGTGTTGGCCTTTTCCTATATGTATGTGCATAGACGAACCCACACTGTCTACTCGGATAGACTGATAAACATGTGTATAATCATGTTAATTACAATTTTTAGCCGCTTCCGTCTTTAAATACGCCAAAACATTGAAATCAAAGCTAAGCAAATGGGTAAGTGTAGCGCAAGCAAAACAAAAGACTTAAGACACAAACTTGTAACATGGCATGCAAAGCTGTTGCGGTTGCTATTGTTTTTTTTTTTGTTGTGGTTTTTGTGGGTTTGTAGGCGTATGGGAATCAGTTGGTTACTAGTTTGTTAGTCACAGACCACAATGATTAGATTAACCATATGTTTATCCAAAAACGTGTATTTCCCGTGTTATTTATTGTTTGACAACATGTCGCTGACATTCGGGCAAGGCAATGAAGCAAATAATA